TCTTTTTTTCTTCATTGTGAAATATTTTAAGAGTGCAAAATTCAGAGTATCTACCAATACGTTGGAATCTACCCAATACGTTGCTTTGAGGCCAAATGAACAGAGATTTGCTTTGTAAGTAGAACTTAATCGAGTCCGAAAAACAAATAAACGAACTGTCTTAAATCTGTGCCATCTGCAAAGCGCGTATCCGTCATGTTTGAAATGAGCACAAACGCATCCCCGCTTGACCCACCAAAAGGTGTCAAGTCAATTTTCAAACTTGGCTGCTCTTTTGGTCCCGGCACCATAGTTGTGGTCCATACCATCAGTGCCATATATATGATCTGGAATTAGTAGTAGATCGAAGGTCTTTTATAGTGAAGCGATTTTTCGAAAATAACTCCTTACAGGGAACCATAAGGTGAGCATAAACATAATCCATTTCCGATAGAAATATATGGTTCTTTTGATGAACATCGCTTCGGCATGTTGCCAATAATACGGTATGCCGCTAAGACGTCTAGTTACTTTCAGTTCTGCAAATAGTTTTTCTAATTGATCGATTCCTTTCAGAAAGGCGGTAGAGTTTTGATTGGGGAGAGAAGAGAGGGTAAGAGGGAGAGGGGAGAATATGATGTTGTTTAGCAAAGAAAAGGGAAAAAATGAAACAAATGGCCCAGGAGGTTTAGTATCAATCCCTGCCTTTTAAGTGCCTAACTAAGAAAAATGCGTTTTCTTACTTTGAAGAACAGGATCATTTTCGTCCAACTCGGTAGTTTCTACTGCATCGTCCGCGTTTTCCTGGTTGAAACGTTCTTGCGCCAAAATACCGACTCTACAAACAGTATTGCATTACTTCAATGAGTATTTCTAGAAGCCAATGATTTTTGAATGGTTTTTTACCAGTTTTCAGAATGTACGAATATAATTTGCATTAATCTAAAGGACAGAGAGGAATTGAGGCAGCTATTGGATATAAGCTTTACAGTATGCATCTTGCGGTCCCTTGCTTGGACTAAATAAAAATTGTATGAATTATCAGATTTCTCGACTCACTTCAAGAATACCTCCTCCATTGTTGTTACGGACATTCCAAATGAGGAAATGCCAAGGTCGGCTTGAATCTCTTCGAGATTAGCGAACATTTTTGAGAACCTACCATAAACCAGTGTGTGTGTGTGATGGCAGGATCAAAATTATACCAGACCACTTACTGAGATTTGCATTTAGCAGAAATGAGGAATGTAGCTTCCTGACCAACAAATGACTGAAGTCGTACATCGCTCACGTGTTGTTGCAGTAAATCTAACGTAGATTTCACTTGTTTTTCCGGAAGAACAGATAGATTTTTATACACCACAATCAAGTGGTAACCATCGCCTGAAAAGCAAATTATTCTGTGGACAATGAGATTGGACTTCTCAATGGAATATAAAGATTA